AAATAAAGTGGTCGGGGCGGAGGGGGCACTGGGCGGGCGCTGGAGCCGCGCGGGGGCGCTGAGACGGCGCGGGGGAGGGGGCGGAGCGGGGGGGGGGTGCGGTGCCGAAATAAAGTGGTCGGGGCGGAGGGGGCACTGGGCGGGCGCTGGAGCCGCGGGGGGCGCTGAGACGGCGCTGAGGTGATGATGATGATGTGGATGATGATGATGATGATGATGATGGTGATTATGATGGTGATGATGGTGAGGATGATGATGATGATGATGATGATGATGATGATGATGATGATGATGATGATGATGATGATGATGATGATGATGATGATGATGATGATGATGATGATGATGATGATGATGATGATGATGCGGTGCCCGAAATAAAGTGGTCGGAGCTCTAGACACCCTGTGCAAGAGAATAACGACCTGAGTTCTATGGACCCAATGATTCTGCGGCGGCTTTCCAGCCGGATCGATATCCGATGGCTCCAGGGCCCGAAACTGGGCGAAAAACACAGGGCGGAAAAAGTTACAACGCCAGGATCTCAGGGTCTGAGAGCAAAAACTGGATCAGTCTGCGCAACATCGGGCAACCGGATCGAAACGAAGTCTTCGTCGGACCGGGCTGCATCTGCACGCAATCGGAATCGAACCAGATCGGCTGCGCCAGGATGCGCAACAGCGCCATGCGAGCATCGGGCCGCATCGCATCATCGAAGCGTCGGAAACGAATGAGATCGGGCCGACCGCAACTGAGATCGAATCGGATCGATCGGATCGGAATGGGCCCTGAAAGAGGAGGGGAGAAGTCTACACATCCGCCGCTCCATGTTTTGATCGATGCGTGGGCCCCCGGAGGCCTGGACAACTCAACTTCCTCAAGGCAAGCGTTTCACCCTGAGTCGTTTTTCGAAAGTGCCGGGCTCCTTTGAGGGTTCCTGGAAAGCGAAGCCGAACACTGCCAAAAACCGGCCCGGCCGCTCCAAATTGTTCGGAGCTTCGGATCTCTTGGGGGGAGAGGGGGGGGGGGGGGGGCGGATCTCCTGTGTGGCGTACATTTCTCAGATCGCGTGGGCGGCGCTTAGGATGCATTATGCAAGCACGGGCGCCGCATGGGGGACGCCACCAGCTAGACACCCTGTGCAAGAGAATAACGACCTGAGTTCTATGGACCCAATGATTCTGCGGCGGCTTTCCAGCCGGATCGATATCCGATGGCTCCAGGGCCCGAAACTGGGCGAAAAACACAGGGCGGAAAAAGTTACAACGCCAGGATCTCAGGGTCTGAGAGCAAAAACTGGATCAGTCTGCGCAACATCGGGCAACCGGATCGAAACGAAGTCTTCGTCGGACCGGGCTGCATCTGCACGCAATCGGAATCGAACCAGATCGGCTGCGCCAGGATGCGCAACAGCGCCATGCGAGCATCGGGCCGCATCGCATCATCGAAGCGTCGGAAACGAATGAGATCGGGCCGACCGCAACTGAGATCGAATCGGATCGATCGGATCGGAATGGGCCCTGAAAGAGGAGGGGAGAAGTCTACACATCCGCCGCTCCATGTTTTGATCGATGCGTGGGCCCCCGGAGGCCTGGACAACTCAACTTCCTCAAGGCAAGCGTTTCACCCTGAGTCGTTTTTCGAAAGTGCCGGGCTCCTTTGAGGGTTCCTGGAAAGCGAAGCCGAACACTGCCAAAAACCGGCCCGGCCGCTCCAAATTGTTCGGAGCTTCGGATCTCTTGGGGGGAGAGGGGGGGGGGGGGGGGCGGATCTCCTGTGTGGCGTACATTTCTCAGATCGCGTGGGCGGCGCTTAGGATGCATTATGCAAGCACGGGCGCCGCATGGGGGACGCCACCAGCCGGCAGAGGAGTCAGCCCAAAGCGGGGGGCAGACCCCAGGCGGCCTCCTCATCTTCCTCCTCCTCCTCCTTCCTCCTCCTTCTCCTCCCTCCTCCTGCTCCTCCTCCTCCTCCATCCCTTCTCCTCATAGATAACTCCTCCCTGTCGCACCTCGAGACCAGATTTTAGGTCGGGCCGGGCGTTTCGCCAGAGACTTCCTCACCATTTATGACTGCGAAGCTTAAACAATGACAAGAGCTTCACAGATCGAGGGCGGGTCGTTTTCGAAATGTGGCTCTCGACTTAGCGCCGCTCAAATTCATTTAAAAAATGTGCGAGAGCTTCACGGATTGAGGGCGGGTGGTTTTCAAAATATGGCTCTTGCCTGAGCGCCGCGCACACTCGTTTTGAAGATTTGCAGGGGTTTCACGGATTGAGGGCGGGTCGTTTTCAAAATGTGGCTCTCGCCTTAGCGCCGAGCACATTCGTTTTAAACATGTGCGAGAGCTTCACAGATTGAGGGCGGGTCGTTTTCAAAATGTGGCTCTCGCCTTAGCACCGCGCACATTCGTTATACAAATTTGCAAGAGCTTCACGGATTGAGGGCGGGTGGTTTTCCGAATGTGGCTCTCGCCTTAGTGTTGCGCACATTCGTTTTAAAACTTGCAAGAGTTTCACTGATTGAAGGCGGTTCCTTTTCGACATGTGGCTCTCGCCTTAGCGCCGCGCACATTCGTTTTTTTCGTTTAAATTTGCAAGAGTTCCACGGAATCCCATGATCAACGTAGCAGAAATGGCATTTTGGAAAGATTCCGGATTATGCGGGCGCAACCGTTATGTTGATTCGCTGTGTTGAACTCCGAAAAAATTGGCGGTCTGGTACGATTCTGGGTCGTCAAGACGCAGCAGTCATGTTGATACGTGGCATTGAAATCCCGAGAACGATGTTTTGGCACGCGTCAGGATCTTCAAACTGTTGTCTTCCAACGAGGCAGTTCCCTCAATGGACACGAGCCGTTGTAGGGGCCTATGAAGAGGGAGCTTGGAGGGAGGGCTAATTCCAACATCGTTGATGACTCTTGGGTTTCCACTGGTCTTCCTCCTCCTCCTCGTCCTCCCTCCTCCTCCTCCCTCCTCCCTCCTCCTTCTCCTCCTCCTTCTCCTCCTCCTCCTCCTCCCTGCTCCCTCCTCCTCCTCCCTCCTCCTCCTCCCCCTTCCGCTCCCGCGCGCGGGGCGGCCCTGGTTCCCTCTCACTTCCGCATGCACGCGGAGGAGGAACGGAGGCTCGAAGGGGCTGCTCATTCGCGCCCCCTGCCCTCTCACGCCCCCCCCATCGGCGCCTCCCCCATGAAACTACGCTGCTACTCCGACACAAGCAGCCGTTCATTCGCTCATACTTTCGTTTTTGACTACCTGACGACCTACCAGACCACTCCAACCCAACCCGAAGGCCCGAATTTCGCCCGAATTTCGGGTTGGTGGGGGGTGCGGGCTTCATATATGTTTTTTGAATGTTCTCCGACCGCCCCCCCACTGGAAATGGAGGGCAAATCGAGGCCTTCGGGTTGGGTTGGGATGGTTTGGTGGGCGGTGACTACCTGCCAGCCCACCCTAACCTGACCCGAAGACCGAAATTTCGGGTTAGGGGGTGGTACGGGTTACACATGTTTTTTCAATGTTCCCCGACGACCCCCCACTGGGAATGGAGGGCAAAGTGGGGCCTTCGGGTTGGGTCGGGGTGGTGTGGTGGGTGGTGAGTTTTGCAGTTGATATCGTACAGAGCGCTTGTTTGTTTGTTTTGGGAAGGGGGAAGATGGAAGCGGACACCGAACGATCCGCTGCCCCTCAAGGGGGCTAGCATCGCAACGGGAGTGCTATATAATGGCCGGCCTGGCTAAAGTCACCACATTCGCTGCCCCTCAAGTGGGCTATCATCGAATGGAAGTGTTGTATAATGGTTAGCCAGGTTATTGTTGATGTCGTACAGAGCGCGTGTGAAGCTGCATCGCAACTAATTAGCTTATGGCCGTGGCGTTTTGCTGCATCTCCGCCTGCGTCTCCTGGTGTCGCGTCCCCGCGATGCACCCCCTCCCCCTGTCTCTCCCCCTCCCCCTTCCCGGAGATCCAGGCATGGCAATTTTTTCACACCAGGCATTTTCACCCTGTTTCGGGACCTAGGGCAATAACAGATCAATCTGGCGCGGAAAATGCCGCATCAGAAGTCTAGGGCTCCAGTCGTGATTTTTGTCGCGATGCTGGCAATGCGTCTTTTCGCAACGTCTGATCTCAGGGTTCCCCCACCATCTGTCTCCGCCCTTCGCTCCCGGGCGCTGGACATCCCTCCCTAGCGTGCGGAGCGCCCCCAAGGCGGCGCCAGAGGCGGCGCCGGAGGCGCCGCCTGGAGGCTCTTACGCACATGTTTCTTCACCGTCCTTCCCTTCTTCTGTGGCAACTCACGGGGGTCTCACATGTCATCTTGCTGGTTCTTGCGAACCGACGCTGGCCGACACCAATCGACTCTAATCGACGCTCATCGACCGCCCATGTCGACCGTAACCGACGCTGAATGCGCGCATCCACATCGACGGGCAGACGTCAGCGCTCGCCAATGCATCCAAAAACTAAATTCCAAAGACACCAAAAGCTCGCATGAGTTTCGGGCGTTGGCGCGAATGGGTTTACTGGGACCCGGTTTAGAGATGCGTACTGGGAAACGACCCCCTGCCCCACTCCACGAGCCGGAACTGCCGCCACCCGAAGAAACAACAACTGCGGCAATGTGCTGGGCTTCGGGGCCCATACAATGTCCAGCTCCCCTTGCCCTGGGCCCTGCCTTTATCCGAGAGTTGCTATCGAACCCGGCCGGTCCCTCCCCCGATTGATTGCTGACTTTCCACCACCGCTACCACAGGTAGGAGGAGGAGGAGAATAAGGAAGAAGAGGAGGAGGAGGAGGAGGAGAAGGAAGAGGAGAAGGAACAGGAGAAGAAAGAGGAGGAGAAGGAGGACCTCCCAATCCTCCCTTCTCCCCCGTCCTACCGATGGCAGTGGTGGTGGAACATCGGCGCATCACTGATCCCTCCCCTCGCTCGCGCCCCCGCGCCGGCGCCAGCGCCCCCGCGGCCGGGACGAGGCGGCACGGCGCGCGCGCCCAGAGGCGCAGTCAGTCGGGCTCGGAGGTGACGGCCAGCGCCTGCCCCCGAAGCGCCTCGGGCGAGTCGCGGAAGGTGCCGAGGAGCCGGTGGCCCTCCGGCGAGTCGCGGAAGGTGCCCAGGAGCCTCTGACCTTGGGTTCTGGCGCTGGGGAGCCAGCAGCGCAGGAGCATGATTTCTCGGGCGTCCATCTCTGTCCCTCCGAAAAATATGTTTGTGCTGCTTTGTTCTTCGATGTCTGGAAGTATTCGGCTGACTAGGTTAGGGGAAACTGCTCCTGGGAGGTCTTCGCAAAAATGATTCACGGGCGAACGAGGCCCTATTAAGGAACCATTCCGCCAGATTGAACCGACATGAGCCCAATATTAACTCAGATTGAACGGGACTGAGCGGGAACAAACTGAATTCAGCAACACAATGTCGGATCAGGCCACTTTTCGACCACGGATATACCAGCGCCAGATCTGTGAAGGTCACGGGGCCCGAGATGAGGCGAAAACGCACGCCTCGAAGAAGTACGACGCCAGTGGACAAACCAAACGGTACCGATACCGCTGCCCCCCGGATCTCGGGACGAATCCAGCGGTGGCGAGGAGGGCCTCCCGGGAAGACGAGGGAAACGGGGGACGAGCAGCGGTATGGGTCTCTCTTCCTCCTCCGAGACAGGATCTCGGCGTTACCAGGCGAGGGGCAGCGGCGGCGGCGGCCACTGCCGAGGCGCCGGCGATCCGCCGCCCCCGCGGCGCGCGCGGCCGCGGCGCGGGCGCCGCAAGGGCTCCTGCAGGGGCTCCTCCGGAGCGGGGGGGGGTCCTGCCGCTACGCTCGGGGCGCCGAGGCGCCGAGGGAGGGAGGGGGAGGCGGATGCGGAGGGGGATACGGAGGGGGGAGAGGCAGTGGGAGGGAGGGGGGTGGAGGGAGGACAGAGAGGGGGGGGGGGGCAGAATGGGGCGACAGAGAAAGAGGGGGATAAAGAGGGGGGGGTGAGAGGGGGGATAGAGAAGGCGGGGGGGTGGGGGAGGAAGGGGGGTTAGAGCGGGGGAATACGGGGGGATACTTAGGAAGGCAGGGACGGGGAATAGGGAGGGAGGGCGGGAGGGAGATAGGGAGGACCCACCATCGTCATCATCATCATCATCATCATCATCATCATCATCATCATCATCATCATCATCATCATCATCATCATCATCATCGTCGTCGTCGTCGTCGTCGTCGTCGTCGTCGTCGTCGTCGTCGTCGTCGTCGTCGTCGTCGTCGTCGTCATTATCATCATCAGCATCATCAACATCCTCATCATCCTCATCATCATCAGTATCAGCATCAGCATCAGCATCACCACCACCATCATCATCACAATCATCATTACAATCAACATCAGCAGCATCATCAACATAATCAGCATCAACGTTAGCACCAGCATCGCACCATCACCGCCACGATCATCATCATCATCATCATCATCATCATCATCATCAGCATCATCATCTCCATCATCGTCACAATCAACATCAGCAACATCATCATGAGAAACAGCATCAGCAGCAACACCAGCATCATAATCATCATCAGTATCATGTTCATCATTACCATCATCATTATGGTACTCATTGTTCTCATCATACTCATCGTACTTGCCATACTCATCATCAGCATCACCACCACCATCATCGTGATCGTCACACCACCACTGTCATCATCATCACCATCATGATCATGATGGCGCTGGAAATGATGATTATGATCACCATCCTCGTCGTATCGTTACCATCATCATCATCACCATCCAGAGTATCACCCGTGCGAGCGAGCGTTTTGTGCTTGCAGGCCAAGCAGGATATCGATGAGCAATGGCCGACGGCTGCCGCACGAAAGCCGGCAGCGGGAGGAGGGCACACTACCAACGACAAGGAGTGGATGGGAGAGGGACAATCCCAAGTTTCAGGGTGGCTCTTGGCCCAAGGCCGTAAACATGGATTAGGACATTATCAAGTGGTGCGCTCGAGCCAGGTGGAAACTATGGATAGACCTCATGATGGCTGGGGCGAAGACGCTGGCCATCCTGAATGATAGCTCTGCGCAACTTGGGTCCGAAACTTTACAAACGCAAGGGCCCCGACTCGTCAGGATAATAAGGCGCCTGTGAGGGTAGGAGCAGAAGCCACCTGTAAAACTACACAGTTTGGGAAAACGGATATTAAAACCACGACCCACGCCTGAACACGAGTGCGTTTCCTCAAGCGGGTCCCAAACCGGCTCCGAGAGGGAATCCCCTGGCGCAGGCAGACACGAATGGTTTTTAAACAACTGGATCGCGTCGTGCGGGGCAGCGGGCGCAACTCTGCCCTGAAGGCCTGGACGTCCCCAGCTTAAGAGGCCGGGCGGAACCTGCACCAGCTAAAGTCTAGGGGGCCGCGGCGGGCTTGCGACCAAGAGCTACATCGCGCGCCCAACCAGACGGCCAACACAAATTCCGAAGGGGACCCGGCCGAGGAGGGCGCGCTGGATCACGGGCCGATCCACGTCGAACCACGGACGAGAAACGACATCAACAGCAATCACAATATAATCTGATTCTTACACACCTCGGCTGAGTCCCTCGGAGCCCGTAGGGAGTTTGAGGAACATCTGTCGTTCATTGCGACAGGCCGCTGAGTGCGCCGTTCGGAGCAGAGAACGCACGCGGGCGAGCACCTGATGCTCAGTCAACCTGCCCCCCGGATCCCCCCGGCCGCTGGCGGCGCGGGCAGGCTCGGCACCGAGGCCGCGTCGGCGAACACGTCGGCGGGCAAGGCCGAGACGCGGCTGCGGAGCTGAGCACGGCGCCGCCAACGGTCCGTTGGCGGCGCCGTGCTCAGCTCCGCGATCACTCTCGCCAGCTTGACACACATCTTCAGCGTCGAGTCCGAGGCCCCGCGCGCGCGCGGAATTGCGCCTCCACCGGGGTCAGCGAACGGCGCGCAGCGTCGCGAGACCTTCCTCCGCGGCGCAGCCCGTAGCCCGTGACCCCAGCAGCGCCAGCTGGAAATCTCTTCCGGCCTCCAATCTTCGCCGAAAGGCCCCCAGGCTGGCAGCTCGAGACGCGGCCCGTCGGCGCCCCGCAGCGGCGCGTCGAGGCCCGGGGGCAGGCTCGCGCGAGCGGGGCCGGGCCGAGACTAGCGGGGCCGCGACGTCCCAGCGGCTGTCCTTGCTGGAGTTCCTCAGCGCCGCGGGCGCCAGCCACATGCCCCGGGCGCCAGCGGCCCCTGCGGCCGTCTCGACGGGGGCGGCGAGCAGGGGCGACGCGGGCGAATCGCACCCGCCAGGCCAGAGGCACGCCGAGAACGAGGCCAGGGGCCCCCGGGGCGCCAATCATAGCCCCATAAGGCCCTGGCGCAGCAGGGCGTCGACGATCGCCGCCGGCAGGTCTGGGTAGGACTTCGCCTCGGCGACCAGCTCGCTCGCGTCGTCGCCCGCGAAGTCCCCGAACCCGGCAGAATACCTCTCGACTACACGTAGGAGTGGCCCTGGGCGACCTTCGGCGCGCGGCTTCAGGGGCGGCCGCGGGGGCCCAACGCAATCGCGCAAGCCGGCGTTGCCGCGCCGCAGCAACGATCGGCAAAGCGCCACTCGACAGATTTTTCAAGCCGGCGGGCAACCGCGGAATTCCGCCGATTGAATTCGAGCGCCCCGAATGGCACTGCGAAGGCGCTGCGAAAGCATACGCTGCCGAGGGCCACCGCGATGAGGTCTGGCAATGCCGGCCTGCATCGCGATGACGTCTGGCCAGGCCCGGTGCCATGGCCAAAACCCGCCCGTCCGAGAGCCTGAAATATGTTCGAATCTCTTTGGGCTTATACTCGTGAAGACCCCCATTGGTTCGCAAAACATATTCAATGACATTCAGAGATATTCAAAACTATGGAAAATATGCAGAGACATTCAAGCCAGGCAGTTCGGGATTTGGGCTGGGAGTCGGGGCTGGCCCTGGGCCGGACAACGCGCCGTCCAGTCGACGGGCCCCCCCTCGGGCAACCAATGCAAGCCGTTGGATGCGACGCGCATGCGCTGCTGTCGATTGCAAGGGGCGCGCCCAAACATCGCGCGCTCAGATGCAAGCGTAATCGCGCGATGCGGGCGCCGACGCGAGGTCAAGCTCATCCCGCGAGAAAATCGCCCGACTCCCTTTGGGCCAGCACCAAAGGTCACTCCAGCAAAGGGTCACCCTGACGTGTAGTCGATAGCTCGCTCAGAAACGGCGCGAGGCATGGGGCCGGCTGGCCGCGGGCCCCCGGCGCCCGGCGCGTCGCCATGGCCCACGGGGCGAAGCCCAAAGCCTGACGGCTGCAGCCCCTGCGCGTCGCCGGCCCCGCCGGCCGCCCCCCCGCGTCGACGGGCGACGGGCGACGGCGGCAGCCGTGGGCACGAGGCGGCGGAGGCAGCGGTAGGCCACGTTGGCGGGCCGACCTCTGGGCCCCAGGGGTGGCCGCGGCTTGCCCCGCCGGCCAAGCGCAGGCGCCCCGCGCCAGAGTCCGCGTCGCCCGCGGGCCCATCCCCGTCGAGGGGCGGGGTCGGCGGAGCGGCCGGCAGAGGGTCGGCGTCGCCGACGGCAGCCCGCGCGCCAGCACTGGCGCCCAGGGCGCCCACGTCGCTCGGCTGCGCGATGAAGAGGCGACCCCGGGAAGGGTAGTCCGAGGGTTTGCGTTGACATGAAACCCAAAACCCATCGGATCGACTGCCTGGCCCCGCGCGCCAGCGACGGGGCGCCGATTTCTCGACGGGCGATTCGGTCCCGGACCGCCCAATGCGAGAGCCAGCCCATGGTTGTCGACGACGGCAAGCAGCCGACGCACATGAGCCGGGCGATTCCAGAGCAGGCGCCAGGAAGCCGAAGACAAGACTAAGCCATTGAGAAGAATGACACCCTTTTGCCAAACCGCCTGCCAGCAGTCGGGGCGCGCGAAGCCGGGGCCCGCCGGGTCGAACGAGCCCGTCTCTGCGCGCGCCCGCAGCTGCCCGCCAGCGATGCCCGGCACCTCGTCCTGGGCGGCCGAGTCGGACGCGCTGCCCTCGGCAAGGAAGGCGCAATCCCGCGCGTTGACCGCCCCTGCCGCGCGGCGCCGCCAGCGCCCCGCCGCCCGGCCGCAGGCTGCAGCCTTTGAGATCAGGCAGCGCCGGCGGCGCGCGCCGCGGCCCCAGGGCGGGGCGTCGCTAGCAGCCGCGACGTCGTGCCGGACAGCGCTGGGGTCGACGACGAGCAGCGGGGGCAGACCCCCGGCCATCGTCGGCTCCGGGCGAACCGATATGGCCGCAAGTCCAGCACGAGCTCGACAGCCCTCAAGAAGGCGCGCGCGCTGGACAGCGCAGAAAGCGCGCGCCGCTGGAGCAGCACGACCCGCGTCGAGCGGCAGAACACACCGCGCCCGCGAAAAAAAATCCGCCGGGACTGCCTGCAGACGCCACAGTCGTTTCCGTGATGACGCAGTAAGTGGCTGGCGCCGTCCAGCCCGAGCCCCGCGGACTGCGCGCTCGAGGAGACGCTGGCCCCCTCATGGGCGGCGATGCCAGCGTCAGCGAAGGCGCAGGCCACCTGCTCCCCCGGGGAGGCGACACCTGCCGAGGCCCGCCCGCCACCGGGGAGTCGTCGACGCAGACGGCCCACCGGTGGGCTGCGGGGGCCGACGGCACTGCGGCCGCACGATCGCGACCAGCTGCTTGGCGGGAAGACCTCCCCGCCGAGCGCCCTCCTCGACCGCGAGCTGGCAGAGGCGGGGCGCCCGGTTCAGGCTCGTTGGCGGCGCGCGGAGGTGAAGGGTCAGCAGTCAGCAGATCCCCCGGACTAGTCGGGTGGCCGTCCACGACCGGGCAGCCCACCGCACCTGCCCGCACTTTGGCCAAGCTGAAGGCGTCGACCAGCTCGTCGGGGATGGCGGTGGCGTAGAAGACATTATGGATGTCGCTTGCGTAAAAATAGCAGACATCGCATTCGGCAGACTCGAGCCGCCGCCGTCAGCAGCAGAGTGCGCGGTGGTGGGGCGCTGTCAAGGTTGGCCCATCTTGCGTCGACTAGAAGCCTCCGAGCACCGCTCCTCTTGTCCACCATGAAGATTCGCAGCGACGGCGGGCCACCCGCGACGAGGGCGAAGCGCGCCACGCCGCGGAAATACACCTGCGTGATAAAGCCAGAGTAGCGGGAGACGGCGCGGGAGGCAGGACCGGAGTAAGTGCGCACCGCGTGCCCCGCTTTTCTCGAAGACGGCCAGCGCCATCATCATTGCGGCGCGGGTTGGCCACGAGACACCTTAATCATGCGCGGTGATCCAGGGCGAGCGCGCCCGGCAGCTACACTGGCGAAGCGCGCGTCTCGGGTCGGAAGACGAGGTCCTTGTTGTAAGGCGCGACAGTGGGAGGGCCTCCACGTGCGATGGCGCCCGCGCAGGGTTCGTGGACGCCCCCGCGGGTGCCGCCGTCCTGCGGACGAGGCCCCAGCGCGACACAGTTGTCCAGCACGCGCTCTTCCGCGAGCGCCTGGGCGGCCGCGTCCAGCTGAGCGGGCCCGTCATGAGAGCGGCCAGCTATGAAGGCTCGATGGCATCATTGGCGAGCCTCGAACTGCGCTGAAATCGCTGCCACCAGTAAACTTGGCGGGCGCCTCGAGCACGGAGAATTGGCAGATGTCTGGCTGGCGACTGGCCACCATAATTAAGCCAGGTGCGAAGGGCCTGCGTGGGCAGCTCCCGCGCAGCGCGCACAGCCACGGCGCGGGTAGCGGCCTTGTGCAATAAAGATGCCCGGGTGCTCAATGGCCCCGACCGCTGCCTGTGTCGGCCGGCGGCTCCGCGAGCCCCCCTTTCTCGTGAACCATGCGGCGCTCCATGGCCACGGCGTTTTCGGACGCGGCGTGCTCCTCAATCCACTTGGCGAAAGCGGGGCGGACCATGGCCCCGCGCGAGTTCCCGGTGCCCACTGAAGAAGAAGTTATTGTCATGCTGCCCGCCTGAGACCGTGGTGCCAAGCAGCGCGTCTTTGATACTCGCCCCACACAGCAAAAACTGACGGCAGATGAGCTCGAAGGCGGCAACGTTGCTGACGTCGAGTTGGCCACGGCACAGCACGGTCTGGAATATCCTCGAGATGTCCAGGCGAGGCAGCTTGACAGGGTCGTCGAGCCCAAGCCAACCTATGGAACCGAAGGCGATGTGGTATTCGACTGCCGAGCCGTTTTTCTCCAGCGTAGGACCAGCGAGCCAGACGACAGCGCATGGGCCTGGCGCGACACAGCCAAGCCAGGCCTGCGCCGCCTCGCCTTGACCTCGTCATGGAACTCGTTAAGGTGCCGACCCTCCATGCCGCAGGGCAAGGCCAGGGTGCAGAAATCGTAGACGAAAGACCCGAAACCAGCAGCGAGCGGGGCTCGCCACCCGAAGGCCGACGGTGCCAGGCTCGAGTGGGCGGGCACCCGGGGCCCATCCCTCAACGTACATATCGCTGTCAGGCGTGACGAAGACTGCGTCGAAACGCCGAACCCGAGGGACATCAAACATAGTGCAACCGCACAGCACCAGAGGCTGGACAGCGCACTCGACGAACAGCACATCACCCCCAGTCATTCAATCACGTCAGACCCGCACGGCTCTGATGGACGCGGGTGCCAACGGGCAGCACGGAAAGGACTTGTCGAGGCGTGGGCGGAGGCAGCTCCGCCACGCGGCGCCGGCGGCACACAAGCACGGCGGGCGGCAAACAGCGCCTCCACGAGAGGAGCAAACCCGCCAGCGACACGAAAAACTTCTGCCACGGCTCCTGCTGGATGCACGTCGAGCACTCCAGGAGCAGGGAGGCGCACTCCTCGATGGAAAGAACCCGCTGCTCCGCCATGGGCTCCGCGCACGGTGGGGCGAGCTGGAGCCAGGCGGCGCAGTCCTCGACCGAAGACGCCTTGGGCTCCGCTGGCGCCTCCGCGACCCGCAGAGGATCGGGCGGTGGCGGCCGGCCATGGAAGTCGCTTTGAGCAGGCGCGGGACTGGTCCGAGAGCGCAGCCGGCCAGGAGGAGGGCAATCGAAATGAATCAGGCCTCCGGGCCACATCTTCAAAAGAAAAGGCTACAGAGTGGACACAAATTACCAGTGGCGTTCATTTAGCTTTTGGATTCGCCATCCTGATCATCATCATCATCATCATCATCATCATCATCATCATCATCATCATCATCATCATCATCATCATCATCATCATCATCATCACCATCACCATCACCATCACCATCATCATCACCATCACCATCATCACCATCATCATCATCATCATCATCATCATCGTCGCCAACATCAGCATAATCATCCTCATCACCCTCATCATCCTCATCATCATCCTCAGCATCATCATCAACAACTATTCATCATCATGGTCGCCGTCATCATCATCATCAGCATCATCATCATCAGCATCACCATCATAAGCATCATCATCATCATCGTTACCATCATCAACCTCATGATCATCATTTCCCTCATCATCATCGACAGCATGCTCATCCTCATCACAATCAGCACCATCATCAAGATACTAAGAATCATCATCATCATTATAATCATGATCATGATCATCATCATCACCATCATCATCATCATCATCATCATCATCATCATCATCATCGTCATCGTCATCGTCACCGTCATCAATCATCATCAGCATCGGCAGCAGCAACAGCAGTATCATCATCAGTGTCATCAACTGCCACAGCATCATACGCATCAGCATCACCAATAGCCTCATTATCCTCATCAGCGTGCTCATCATCGGCATCATCGTCAGCATCACCATCGTTATCAGCAGCAGCATCAGCATCCTCGTCATCATCATGAGCATCATCACCATCAGCATCCTCACAATCAGCATCAGCAGCATTATACTCATCACAATCATCATCATCATCATCATCATCAGCATCATCATCATCATCATCATCATCATCATCATCATCATCATCGTCATCGTCATCATCATCATCATCATCATCATCATCATCATCATCATCATCATCATCATCATCATCATCATCATCATCATCATCATTATTAGCATCATTGTTATTAAACTTCGTTTTTGTTACATCGTAAGACACGGCTCGTGCACTCCTGCACTGATTGGCATTCCAGCAAAACTCACGAATCTGAATGATAACTCGCACAAAATTCCCCTGTGGATGGGGTCATAAATTTTAACCATGCACTGTACGCGGGGATTCTACACGGAGACTAGGGACACAGCAGCAGCAGTCACATCATCACCAGCGGCAGCAGTAGCAGCATAATCCACATCATCATCATCATCATCATCATCATCATCAGCATCATCAGCATCATCATCATCATCATCATCATCAGCATCATCATCATCACGCGCATCGTCGTCATCCTCATGATCATCAGCAGCAGCAGTATTAAAATCATCACCATCATCATCATCAGCAGCAGCAGCAGCATCAGCATCAGCATCATTACAAGCAGCATCAGCAGCATAATCATCATGAGCAGCAGCAGCAGCAGCATCGTCATCATCATCAGCAGCAGAAGCATCAGCATCATCATCAGCATCGTCATCACCTTCGCCAACCAACATCACCATGACCAGCATCATCAGCATCATCAGCAGAAGCATAATCGTCATCATCACCAGCATCATCCTCATCATCCTCATCATCGTCATCATCGTCATCATCGTCATCATCAACATCATCATTATCATCATCATCATCATCATCATCATCATCATCATCATCATCATCATCCCCATCACCAATAATCGTCATCATCAGCATCATCATCACCACCATCATCATCGTCGTTATCATCATTCACATCGTCAGCATCGTCATCGTCGTCGTCGCAGTCGCCGTCGCCGTCGTCGTCGCCGATGTCGTCTTCGTCGCCGTTGTCGTCATGGTCGTCGGTCCTCCTTCTCCTCCTACTCCTCTGCGCTCCCGGCCCCTGCGCCCTGCAGGCTGGGCTGGCGCTGCTGGGCGCCGCGGCTGCGGGCGCGCAGGGGTGGGTCCCACGGGAACCTCGACGGGGGGGGTGCGCCGACCACGGGGACTACACGACGACGAGAACGATGACGACGACGAGGAGAAGGACGAGGCCGACGCTGACTAGGACGAGGACGACAACAACGAGGAGGAGGAGGACGACGACGACGATGACAACGACGATGACGACGACAACGACGACAACGGCAAGAACGACGACAACGACAACGACGACGACGACGAGGAGGACGACGACGACGACCACCACCACGACCACGACGACATCGGCGACTAAGACGACGACGACGACGAGAACGAGGACGACGACGACGACGATGAGATGGGCGAGGACGACGCTGACGAGGAGGATGACGACGACGAGGAGGATGACGACGACGACGAGAACGACGACGACGACGACGAAGATGACACCGACGACGACGTCAACGACAACGACGACAACGACGACGATGACGACGATGATGATGACGACGATTACATGATTATTACGAGGAGGACGACGATGAGAACGACGATGACGATGGCGATGACGAGGACGATGACCAGAACGAGAGGAGGAGTAGGAGGGGACGGAGGGGGAAGAGTAGGGGGAAAAAGAACAGGAGGAGACGGATGGGGAAGAAGAGGAAGAGGAGACGGAGGGGCACGAGGAGGGGCGAGAAGGGCAGGGAGGGGACGAGATGGGACGCCAGAAGCCAGAGGGACACTCGCTAGGGGGGCCAAAATCGTCAGCGGCAAAAGCCGGCGGCGGCGGAAGGGGGAGGGCGCGGGCGAGGGGGAAGGGGGCGGAGTGGAAGGGAGCGGGGACCATGCCGAACGAATCGGCCCCCTGGACACACGAGGCGCACGACCCTCGACGCACGACCCCCGACTTCCCTGCAACGGCTCTGGCCGTCGTTTTGGCTTGGGCCGGCAGGGCAAGGGGGCAAGGCGTGCGAGGGGAGTGGTGGAAGAGGTCAGGACGAGAGGGCGAAGAGGAGGGGTGGAGAGAGAGAAGCGGGAGGAGGCACTGCGCATGGCTCTCTTGGCTGCCTCTGCTTGCCCTTCCGGCCCCGCCCCCAGAAGGAAACCTCCAGAAGGCTCCCCGCCCTGTGGGGAGAGCCCCTGGCCCTGCAGGAAGAAACGCCATAAGCTCCCTCGCCCCCTGGCCTCGCCACTCTTGGAAGGCTCCTCCTGCAGCCCTGCCCCTGGGAAGAGCCAGCTGGGGCTCCTCCTCGCCGCGCCCCCGGCGGGAGCGCCCGCCGCGTCGGCGCAGGGAGCGGCGCGCGCGCCGCGGGCGAGCCTGCGTCGGGGGAGCGCGGGCCGGCTCGTCCGAGGAGCGGGGGAGCTCGCGGGGGGAGGGCGGCCGAGACCGAGACCGCCCTCTCGTCCGAGGGCGCAGCTCCTCTCGAGGCAGCTCCTCAAGGGTAGCCTTGGGCGGTGGGGAGAGCAGGAGGGGGAGGAGGGGGAGGAGATGTAGATATATGGAGGGGAGAGAGAGAGAGAGAGAGAGAAAAAAAAAAAAAAAAAAACGAAACAAACAAAAAAGAACAGAGGAAAAGGAGAGAAAGAGGCGAGACGAGAAGGAAGAGGAAGACTGAGTGAGACAGCGAGAGAGAGAGAGATAGGAGTGGACAAAGAGAGCGGGGAGGAGGACTGAGAGATACACAGAGAGAGAGAGAGAGAGACAGACAGACTGACGGACAGAGAGAGATGGATGGATGTATGGATGTATGGATGTATGGATGTATGGATGAATGGATGGAGAGAGAGGGAGGGAGGGAGGAGGGAGGGAGAGAGATAAGAGGAGAAGGGCGAGAGGTATGTGAGGGAGGATAAGGGAGAGGAGGAGGAGGAGAAAGAAGAGGAGGAGGAGAGTAACCACAATGAGCCCGAGGTGCACCAACGATGATGCAGCTCACCCTCCCGTCCCAAGCCCCCTCCCCATACATTCCAAATTACCCGCTTCTCGCTTTCACTACGGGGGTATCCCCTTCAAAGACGAGCGCCCCACGGACCTGCCATTCAGGCGAGAGCTCCGTTTTGAACAGGAGCCGCCGTCCGTCCCAGCAACTGCTTGAAAGCACCTCCTTCTTCCCCTTCGGGGAGAGGTCTATCTGGCCCTGTACGCCCATCTCAATGGGACAGCCCAAGAGCGCTCCAAGAGAGCCCAAGACCGCCCAAGACGGCCCAAGAGGCGCCCAAGGGGCGTCCCAAGAGGGCCCCAAGATGCCAAAATCATTGATTTTCCTGTGGGAAAACGTGTATGTTTCAGCATATACGGCTTTTCGGCATTCACGGGCTTGACGACGGCCCAAGAGGTCCCCAAGACCACCCCAAGACCGCCCCAAGAGGCGCCCAAGAGGCTCCCAAGAGGCCCCCAAAACGTCCCAAGAGGGCCCCAAGACGGCCCCAGAGGCGCCCAAGACGGCCCAAGAGGGCCCCAAGACGGCCCCAAGAGGGGGACCACGAACCGAAAAGTCTAGCCTTTCGCCCCAAGACGCTCCCAGGAGGCCCCAAGAGCCTCCCAAGAAGCCCCAAGAGGCCCTCAAGAGGCGTCGCAAGAGGCCACCAGGAGGCCAAAATCATTGATTTCTCATGGGGGAAGGCACATGCTTAGAATGCAAGGCTTTTCGGCTTTCACGGCGTTGAAGACGGTCCAAGAGGCCCAAAGACCGCCCCAAGACGGCCAAAGAGGCTCCCAAGAGGCCCACAAACGGCCCAAGAGGGTCCCAAGACCGCCCCAAGAGGCGCCCAAGACGGCCCAAGAGGGCCCCAAGACGGCCCAAAGAGGGTCCCAAGACGGCCCAAGAGGCGCCCAAGACGGCCCAAGAGGGCCCCAAGACGGCCCCGAGAGGGGGACCACGAACCGAAAAGTCTAGCCGTTCGCCCCAAGACGCTCCCAGGAGGCCCCAAGAGCCCCCAAGAAGCCCCAAGAGGCCCCCAAGAGGCGTCCCAAGAGGCCATCGAGAGGCCAAAATCATGGAATTCCGATCGGAAAACATATATTTTTAGCATACTAGGCTTTTCGGCTTTCACGGCGTTAAAGACGGTCCAAGAGGCCCCCAAGACCGCCCCAAGACGGCCCAAGAGGCTCCCAAGAGGCCCCCAACACGACCCAAGAGGGCCCCAAGACGGCCCCAGAGGCGCCCAAGACGGCCCAAGAGGGCCCCAAGACGGCCCCAAGAGAGGCACCACGAACCGAAAAGTCTAGCCGTTCGCCCCAAGACGCGCCCAGGAGGCCCCAAGAGCCCCCAAGAAGCCCCAAGAGGCCCCCAACAGGTTCCCAAGAGGCCCCCAAAAGGGCTCGAAAAGGGCCCCACTAGTAGGACTCCCAAGAAGGCCCAGAGACGCCAAATAAAGAGCGATCGGTAACGCACGAAGCTCTTCACACCAAGGCTCCCAAGAGCGAACGGTGAAGTAATCAAGCTGATAAGACCAAGGCTCCCAGCAGAGAGCGGTGACGTAACAAGTTCCTGACACCAAGGCCCAGCCAAGGCTCAGGAACGGGCGGCAACGCAACAATCTCTGAACACCAAGGCTCCCAAGAGCGAGGGGTGACGTCACAAGCTCTCAACGCCAAGGCTCCCGGTACGAACGGTGGTGTGAGTAATTTCGGCTCCTGTTTCTGAAGCGCTCTTTCCGTTTCTGTGCCGGGCCAGGTCTACCTGGCCCTGTAGGCCTATCTCAATGGGTCTGAGGGGGGGGAGGACGCGGCGCGTTAGAGCGTCCAAGATGGCCCAAGGCGGCCCCAAGACGGCCCCAGAAAACCTAGGATAACCTCCAAGATAGCTCAGTATCAAAAGATGGCTCCAGATGGTCTCCAACCTGCAGCCTCAAGAGCGCAGCAAAACTGCTCCGAGTGGCCTCCGAACACTCGGCCGCCTCGGCCGTCCCGCCAGCTGTTCGTTTCGACGGACGGCTGCGCCGGGCCTCGTCCCTCGTCCCAAACACCCTCTTGAAAAACATATGGGAATTCAATGCTTGTTGCCGCCTCGCCATTTCGCTTCCGACGGGCTTGTGAGGCCTCATGCTCACCCAAGAGAGACCCATGAGGGGCCCAAGAGGACCCACAGAAAGCCCCAAGAGCGTCCGAAAACCGTCCCGAGAGGGCGTCCTGGCGATCTCGGGAGGCCCCCTGGCGGTCTCGGGAAGCCTTGGGGGCAGAAGCTCAGGATGTCGGGTAGGGTTCCATGTCTGGGGCCACTCTTGGGGCGCCTTAGAGCCCTCCTGGGCCTGCTTTGAAGCCTGGTGGATAGTCGTGGGCCTCTCTTGAGCCGTCTTGGGGAGCTACTGTGGCCTCTCACGGGCGACTTGGAACGTTGAAAGGCCGACCAAACAAACGCTGGTAATCAATCAAAAGCTCTTAGTCATCATTGTTTTTGACATTTTGGGTGGCTTTGGCGGCTTATTGGCCCGTCTTGTTGCCCCAAGGAGCCCGAAAACGAGCAAGGGCCCGTTTCCCGACTAAGGACCCCGTCCCCCATGGCGATCCCGAGACTCCTGCGGCCAGCAGGAGGCACGAGCAAACTTGTCGGAGCAGTGGGCGGCCTCCGTCGGCGGGAGGCCCCCAGCCACGGAAACGCTGCCGGCGCTGAGGGCAGCGGGCCCAGGAGCCAGGGAGGGGGGGAGCCCGTGCATGATACAGGGTGCAGGGTTCCCACGTCCTCACCTCCCCAGATGAGATGGGTCCTAGGGCCCTAGGGTTGGTACGTCTCCGCCCAGCCCGGATGGGATGGCGTGGAGACGACGACGAAGTCGAGGATGACAACAACGACGACGACGACCATCACCACCAACACCACCACGACGACGACCAAGACGACGACGACAACCACGACGACGACCACGACGAGACCACCACCACCACGAAGACGACACGACGACCACGACAGCAACGACGACCAAGACGATCAAAGACGACCAAGACGACGACGAAGATGACATAGACGACAAAGACGACAAAGACGACGACGAAGACGACGACGACGACGACGACGACGACGACGACGACGACGACGACGACGACGACGACGACGACGACGACATCGACAACGACAAAGACGACTACAAGGACGATATCCAGGCCTCTCCTGTAAGCCGAGACCGCTGCGCTGCAAATTTGCAGCCTTCCCGCTTCCTGAAGCAGCCGCGCTACCACGCCACGCCTACGGGGGAGGAGCACCGCGATCCCGCTCACACCTGCACGCACATGCACACAGCCAAGCACGCACGCCCCCCCACCACCACCACCACCACCACCACCACGCTACGCCACACCGCCGGGGGGAGGCCATACCCATGACGCGGGGGGGGGGGCTGTGTCCTGGATCATAAACCTTTCGTGGTGGCTCGGCGGTTCTAGGTTCGAGGGTGGCCCGAGGAGTTTTGAGCAGCGTCCGCGGTGGCTCGAGGAGAGTTCCAGGAGAGTTGGAGGTTCGGGGATCGGGAGCAGGGGGGTAGCTCTGTTGGACTGTCCTGAGAAGGCGTCAGGAGGGGGGGGAGAAGCATGCTCCTGCGGGAGTGTTCTGGAATGTGGTTGAGGGGTCGGCCGGGAGTCTCTGGGACGCTGTCCTTGTGGACCCTGGGGCGCTCGTCGGCCGTTTGGAGGCCTCGTGGTGCTGCGTTGGCCTGCCCTGGGAAGAACGCGCGAAGCACATGCGGGTGGGAGCGTTCTGGGACGAGGCGGAGTTCTCTGGGAGCCTCTGGGGGGCTCTCCTGAGGCATGCTGGGGGGAGTCTCGGGGGCCTCGGGGGGCCTCTCATGGTGGCGTAGGTCTCGGGAACCATCTCAGGGGGGAGAGGCTCGAAATGTCAGGTCGTGTCCCCTCGCTGCGGCCACTCGGGGCGCCTTGGAGCCCTATTGGACTGGTTAGGGAGCCTGGTGGGCTCTCTTGGGCCTGTGTTGGGGGGCTCTTGGCGGCCTTTTGGGCCGTCTTGGGGCGATCTGTGGGCCTGGGTCTTGGAGAGTTGGAAGACCGAAGGAACACAAATTCTATAATCCGTCAAAAGATGTGCAACAGTGGGCTTGGCCTCTTGGGCATCTTCGGGGTCATGTTGGGCCACGGCTGGTGCGCTTCAGCGGCCTCCTGGGCCGTCCTGATGGACTCTCGGGCGTATTGGACCGACCCAAGGCCATCTTGGACTGTCTTGGGGCACCCAGGGAAGCTCCGGGATCCGCTCCAGGATCCGCTCCGGGAGCCCGGGTGGCGGGGGTGGGCATGGCAGAGGTCCATATCCACCACTCCCCGAGGTCATGGGGCACGACTCTGAGGCAGCGGACATCGACACACGCGCGCGGTCTGGCGTCGGCGGCGTCTGGAGGGGCTAGAGGAAAAAGAGCACGAGGATGGGGGGGCACCTCCGGGGCCCCGAGTCTGGCCGAAGGTCTGCGCGCTCCACCGCAACGCCGACCACGGCATTCCTGGTATGGCAGAAGCTCTTCGATGCCTCGGCCGACGAACACTTGAACGAAGGATTGCAAAAAAAACCCTTCTTGAACGAAGGATTGTAAAAAAAACGACGGATTGCAAAAAAACGAAGGGTTTGTTTTGCAATCCTTCTTGCAATCCAGGGTTTTTTTGCAATCCTTCGGTGGACTTCCCGTTCCGACCACCGCGGCTGTCGAGCCAGCGAACAACAAGCCACAAGAGAACAGCGTGTGTGTGCACAGCGCTGACGGAGCTCTGCGCGGTGGGAGCCGGCAAACTGGGCTGCAGGATCGCGAATTGAGCCCAAGAAGCGCAAGCAAAGAGGGGGGCGGTGGCGACAAGGGCCTCCCAGGAGGCCCGAGAAGGGGAAAACGAAGAAAGGGTTGCAGTATTAATTTATCTTATATATATATATATATATATATATATATTCCTCTTCCTGATTTTTTTACAAGCCCGGGCGGGGGGAAAACCCGTCCTCCCCCCAAACAAAAACCGGACTCCCGGCATCTGGGGCTTTGGGACCCTTCGGACGGGCCTCGAAGCGGCCCCCAGGGCCTCGCAGGGCGTTTTGCCAAGCCTTCGCAGCACACCTAGGGCGATCAGGGGGGTCATCGGAGACGTCCCAGAGAACCCCAAGACAACACAAGAGCGCTCCAAGAAGCCGTCATACCCCGAAAGATCGCTCCAAAACGTACCAAGAGGCCTCCAAAAGCACTCCCCAAGAAGGCCCCAAGAGGGAAAAATCATTGATTTAAGATAGGTTTTTGGTGAATTTGGGGTTCTCCTCTTTTCGGCTTCCCGACGCTCCAAGACAGCGGTCTGCTGGGCGTCCGAAGTCGCCTGGGAGGCTCCCAAATCGCCCCAGAACCATCCGAAAGGGTTTCCAGGCAGTCCCAGAGAACCCCAAAACGGCTCAACAGGGGTCCAAAATGGCCCTAAGAGAGCCCCATGGCGGCCCAAGATGGCCCCAAGACACCCTCCGAAGCATTCCAAATCGTGACCGGGGCGTTCAGGGAGACCGCGGTTAGAGGCAGGTTGGCTTTAGGAAGCCCCAGAGGCCCCCAGAACACGCCAAGGAGGCCTCCAGAAGGCTTTAAGAAAGCCTGAGAACTTTGGTGAGGCTCCCAGAGGCTCTCCAAGGAGGAGCCTCCGCAAAAAGAGCTGAGGAGGATGAGGAGAATGCCCAGGGTATGGCGAGAATGAGGAACAGCAAGCATGGAGGAAGGAAAACGAACAATATTATTAGAATGGCGATACCAGAAAAGGCAGCAATGAGTTATCGCTAAATTGTCCGCTTGACCTTCCTGCCATTTCCGCCTGCATACCAATATTCAAGGACCAAGGTGCATGGCGCGAAGCGCCACTGCAGTCTTGTGTATATATACACACACACCTTTTCCTCCTCCGAACCAGGATCTCAGCGTTACCAGGCGACCAGCAACGACGGCGGAAATGCAGCCTCGGCGGAAACGAGGGAGGTTGGCGATATCAGTACCATCCCTAAGATCCGACGTTGCGAAGAAATCCGCCGACCCGGCGTGTGAACTACATGCAAGGAGACTCAGCAAGAGTTTCAGCTCTGAGCCTAATCAAGAGCTTCAGCTCTGCTTTGGGGGGGTCGCTGGGGTGGCTCTGCCGGGGAAGGGGGGGGCCATCTGGCGTTTCCTTCATGATTTGCGCATCCGGATCCCTCCCCCCCCCGGGGAAGGGGGGAGGGGGGGGGGGCGGTGCCCATCTGGCGTTTTCTCAATGATTTGCGCATCCCCAAAATTTTTCGGGGGTCCCAGGGACCCCCCTCAGATCTAGCCGCTACCGCCCCCAGGACCCTCCCCGCGGAACCCTCCCCGGACACCCCCCCCGGGACCGCTCGAGGCCTCCCCCCCAGAGGAGAAGAAAGAGGACCGGAAGTATCGAGGAGGGAGGAGGCGCGAAGATCACCGAATCTGGAGCCCCCCGGGTCGGCGGCACTGGCCGGAGGCCATTACAATACAACATCGCGAAAAATCACGACAGCAAATGCCGAACCCATTTTTCTTCGCAATTTTTTCGAGCCGGATCGATAATCGATCTGAGAGGGTCCATGGGGCGCGATGCCAGGCGAAAACGACTGGACTGGAAAAGCTGCAACGCCCGGATCTCAAGGGCTTTCCCTTCTCCGACAAACCTCACTGCCAGCACTTTGGCCCCCCAAAGCGGCCCTCGCCGAGGCTCCAGCACGACCCAAAGGACAAGGGAAAGACTCGGCCAGGCGAAACTCGGCAAAGCTGAACTCGGCCAGCTGATCTTGGCCAGGCTGCTCTCGGCCTAGGTCAATTCCGCTTGGCCGCATTCAGCCCAGCCGAGCTCAGCCCGGCCGCGAATCTCCCAGCCGAGCTTGGTGGCTGCCCAGAGCGGCGCTCGAAGACGCTCCGGCACGCGCCAAACGGCGGCCACGGAGAGCCTGGCGCTGCCGCGAGCAGCTGGCGACCTGGGGAGCCGGTTACCGCTCGCAGCGGGCTCCAGAGCAGGGGGCTCCGCGTCGGTCTGCACCTTGGTTTGGGGCTCTGGCTTTCCAGGAGGAAGTTCATCTAGGCACGAGGTTTTTCGAGACTCCAAGGGCACGGGCGATCTCGTACTCTTATTCAGGTTTCCCAGCCTGGAAATGCAATTCAGAGGCTGCGCCGAGCCGAGAGCGTTCCAGGGGTGCCCAGATCGTCCCGAGCGGCCGCCGGAGATCCGAATTATGACCCGAAAGACAGACGACCCGAAAGCGCCGCCCTCGAGACGCCGCAATGAAGCAAACCCACATCTTCGACAATGCGAGTTGTTCAATCCTGGCGTCTTTCCTCGACGGGGGGCCCGTCACCTGGCCCTGGGACCACAAGAAATGTGCAATCATTTGTCTTACGATTTTGTTACGGTGAAGACACAGCAGCAGAAGGCCCCTGAAACGCGCGGCTGGGGGGCGAAGAGCTACCCAGTCCTTCGGCGACAGCCGAACATCGGATATACAACACAGTGATACCAGTCCTCTACGCGCAAATGTTCAGACTGAGCCTGGGGGTCCAGACCGCTGGGGTCGCAGATTGAAACATCAGATCGTCGGATGTCAGGGTTAGGGGAGGGGACCAGCTCAGGGGGGAAACATCAACCTGGAATCGGCGATACATCGCCGACAGATCGGCGATATGCCCCAATAGCAAAACGGCACATGTTCGGCGGGGTGTGGGACGATCGGGGCCCTATCGGCGATGAGGGCGACTTGGAGCCAATGCATCACCCCCCTGGGCTTACCTCCCCCTGACGCTGTCCCCGAGAAGGGAGGAGGTCGAGCCTCCAACGCACGGGGACTCAGCGTCTGTCCTCAAAATGACCCATCCGAGAATTGTGTTGTTTAAACGGGCCCCCTTCCAGGATCAAAAGAACCCCTCCAGAAGGGTTTTTGTTTGAACGAACCCCTCTCCAGGATCCAAAGAACCCCTCCTGGATTGGTTTTTTTGAACGATCCCCCCCTCTGGGATCCCAAACAAAACCATCCTGGAGGGTTTAGTTTGAACACCCCCCTCCAGGATCCAACGAACCTTACCTGGAAGGGTGTTTCAGGATCGTCGTAGTGCCACACGCAACTACCCAAGGCTTCTCGGGGTTCCCCGGGCCATCGGCGGATAAGAAATACCCGTGGGGCACCTGCTGAAGGCTGTTTTCTTGCATACTTAGATGGAGATGAACGGCATCAACATACACTGTCGAAGGTGCGCACGGAGTTGTTGCATCTGCGCTGGATCCTCTCCTCCCGAACGCGCGGAGCTACCCAGGGACGGCGCTGGAGGTGCGCCAAGGGGGTGTCCAGTGCCGATCCAAGAAGTCCGCACGGAGCTCCGAAGCTTTATGCTTGCGTAGATCGTTGATCGAAAAATGTCCGTGGGGTACCTGTCTGCTAGAAGGCTGGTTGCTTGTTCAGGGTGAAAACAAGGCATCAACGTAAACTGTCGACGGTCCACGCGGACGGATTTGATCTGCGCTGGACACCCCTCCCTGGCGCGCGGAGCGCGCCAGGGGCGGCGCCGGAGGCGCAGTAAAGGGGGGCCCAACGCAGATCCAAGACATCCGCGCGGAGCGCCAGAAAAGTTCTTCCCGGAAAGAGATGTCCGTGGCCCACCTGCTGGAAGGCCCAACGCCGCTCCAATAAATTCGCGCGGACCGTCAAAAGTTCATGTGTGTGCCGTTGCTTGCTTGTTCTTCATTATTCGACGCACCAGCTGTCGGGGGCTAAAGGCAAAGCCCTTCAAAATCTGTCCCTGGACCTCTCCAAGGGTTCATCGGGTGCAGCTTTGCACCCCAGATCCGTTTTTGACGGTGCTGGGGCCCGAACACGGCTCCCAGAGGCCACCTCAGACCCCGGGTCGGCTCCAAGCTTCCACTGTACAGTCGGGCCGCCGATCTAAGGAACGCTGAACAAGAAACGAAGCCCCGTTCTGGCGCCAGCAGCGCCTGCGTGCACGAGGAGGGCTAGAGCAGCCGCCGCGGAGGAGCCCGAGGAACCGCGGCCCTTGATTATCTCAGCGTCTCGGCTGTAGACGTTCATGGCCCGCGCGCCCCGCCTCGCGCGCGCACCGATGCCCGCTGCCCCCCGAGGCCCAGACGCCCTCGCTCCGGCGGGCCAGCCGCGCTTCCAGCGCCCTCACGCGCGCCCGCGAGGCGGCGAGGTCCGCCTGCAGCCGCTCGAGCGCGGCCTCGGCCTTGCAGCGAGGGGGGGGCGCGGGGGCGGCAGGCACTGCCCCAGGCGCCCCCAAAGTCGAATCGAGAAGTCGGATCGGCGATCGAAGCGAATCGGATCGGCGGAAATCGGCAGCCGAGTCGGGAAAAGTCGGATCGGCGGAAATCGGAAAGCTAGTAGGCCTCCATCGAGAAATCGGAGCCCAAATCGCAACCCCAAGTCGAGTCGAATCGGGATCGGAGGCCATCGAAATCGAATCGAATCGAATCGGAGGGATCGAGACGAGCCCTGCTGCCCCCCCCCTTCTGTGAAAGACGGAGCCAGGGCGAGGACAGAACCGGGTGAGGGGCACCTCGAGAGAATCTCTGAGAGCCAGCGACTCTGGAGGATGTCTCGGTCGCCTCGGCCTTCTCGGAGCGTTCGAGAACGCTCTGAGAGCGTTCGGGAACGCTCTGGAACGGATGTTCTCCGCGTCCCAGCCCCGCCCGAGGGATGGGGCGGTGGGCACTGCTCCCACCTCCTGTCGGCGTGGCAAAGGGCACCACGGAAAGCTCTTGGCAGTGCTCGGCCCCCCCCGCACGGGCCCCGCGGGAACACCGAGGACACTGCGCCAGTTCGCCCCGCGGGACGGCCCTACGTGGGGCTAGGCGGTGGCGACGCGGCGCCGACGAGTAGAACAAAACACATGCTGGGGAGCGGGGGTGGGTGAGTGGGCCGACTGCCGATTCACGCATCCTGTCGTTGCCGCTGCCGCTGCACCAAAATGCACCGACTCTGCTGCTCCTCGGACCTCGCCCGGTGTCGTCCTCGAGATCCGACGCTGCGAAGAAGTACAACATCGCGAAAATCCCGACCAGAGCCAAACAGCCAGTCTTCCTACGCCATTCGAGCCGGGTCCATCTTGCGTAGACAAAGTTCAACGCCCCGATCTCACGGCCCCTTCCTTCCCAGGAGGCAGCAGCGGCGACAGCAGCAGCCGCAGTGGCCACAATGGCCGCAGCAGTCCCAGACATGCGGCGTCTTCATTTTTTCGCAACGTGGACCCCCGGAGGTCTAAGCCCTTTCCCTGGGACTGGTTTGTCATCCCAGGCAATAAATTATCATTTCAGCCCTGGGGCCCGGCGAGGGTCCCCGGGCGCCGAGAGAATAGCCAAAAAACGTGCGTTTACAATTTCTTCACGACGCGAGCATATCTGGGCTACCTCCTTCGAGAGGCAGCAGCGGCGACAGCAGCAGCCGCAGCAGCCGCAACGGCCGCATCAGTGGTTCGGAGGAGGGTCAGATGAGACCATGGTGGCTTTCGCGCCCAGCTCAAATCCGCTCAAAATCAATCCCTGGTCCCCCCCTGGGGTCCATCCCGACCCGTTTTTCTATGCGAACACAACCGTGGCGACCAGAGACCCCCAGGAAACCCCCAAATTATCCTGGCGAAGGACCCAACCATATGCAGCTGTGAATACCGCAATTGTGAATATCTTCTTGGGTGGAGTTCCCAATGGGGCCACGAAACGCTGCACTGAGTGGGGGGGGAAACGCATGCGGGCGGTCGCACTGGGACCTTCGGTGGAGCTCCCTTTGGGGCCACGAAACGCTGCACTGCGTGGAGGGGACGAATGCGGGAGGTAGCACCCAGGCCTTCCGTGGACCTCACTATGGGGCCACGAAGCGATGCACTGGGAGGGGGGGACGCATGCGGGCGGTGGCACTGGGGCCTTCGGTGGAGCTCCCTATGGGGCCACGAAGCGTGTGAGGGGTGTGCCCAAATGGGTGTGGGGGACGCATGCGGGCGGTGGCACTGGGGCCTTCGGTGGAGCTCCCTATGGGGCCACGAAACGTGTGAGGGGTGTGCCGAATGGGTGTGGGGGACGCATGCGGGCGGTGGCACTGGGCCTTCGGTGGAGCTCCCTATGGAGCCACGAAATGTGTGAGGGGTGTGCCCAAATGGGTGTGGGGGACGCATGCGGGCGGTGGCACTGGGCCTTCGCCGTGGAGCTCCCTCTGAGGCCACGAAACGTGTGTGTGCCCAAATGGGTGTGGGGGACGCATGCGGGCGGTGGCACTGGGGCCTTCGGTGGAATGGGGCCACGAAACGTGTGAGGGGTGTGCCGAAATGGGTGTGGGGGACGCATGCGGGCGCGGGCACTGGGGCCTTCGGTGGAGCTCCCTATGGGGCCACGAAACGTGTGAGGGGTGTGCCGAAATGGGTGTGGGGGACGCACGCGGGCGGTGGCACTGGGGCCTTCGGTGGAGCTCCCTATGGGGCCACGAAGCGTGTGAGGGGTGTGCCGAAATGGGTGTGGGGGAAGCATGCGGGCGGTGGCACTGGGGCCTTCGGTGGAGCCCCCTAAGGGGCCACGAAACGTGTGAGGGGTGTGCCGACATGGGTGTGGGGGGGGCGCGTGCGGGCGGTGGCACTGGGGCCTTCGGTGGGGCTCCCTATGGGGCCACGAAGCGTGTGAGGGGTGTGCCCAAATGGGTGTGGGGGACGCATGCGGGCGGTGGCACTGGGGCCTTCGGTGGAGCTCCCTATGGGGCCACGAAACGTGTGAGGGGTGTGCCGAAATGGGTGTGGGGGACGCATGCGGGCGGTGGCACTGGGGCCTTCGGTGGAGCTCCCTAAGGGGCCACGAAGCGTGTGAGGGGTGTGCCGAAATGAGGGGAGGACGAGGAGGAGGAGGAGGAGGAGGAGGAGGAGAAGAGGAAGGAACGCGGGGCGACGTCTCTTCGAAACGAGGACCCAGCACCTCAGGATGGTTGGGAAAAACGAAAAAGGCCAGGAGGGCCGCCGTTGTCTCGACTGGCACTCCTCCCAATAGATCCGACGTCCGACGTCTTGTTTTTTCAATGCGGGGTCCCCAGAAGCCCCGACCCTTTTCCCCAGGGTAAGCTTTTCGTCCTGAGTGGTGTTCTGACAGTCCCGGAATACCTGCCAGACCACCCCAACCTGACCCGAAGAACCAAATGTCGGGTTGGGGGGGATACGGGTTCCACATCTGTCTTGTCAATGTTCCCCGACGACCCCCCACTGAGAATGGAGGGCAAACTGGAGCCTTCGGGTTGGGTTGGGATGGTTCGGTGGGTGGCGAATCCCGGGACCTGGCAAGGGCGAATCCCGGGACCTGGCGAGGGCCCCCAGAGGCCGAAAATGGCGAACAACCTCCACATGTTTCGGTGTCTGGGAGGCCTGGGCCCTCCATAGATCTGCGCCCTCATTTCGGTCCTGGCCCTTGGAGGCCTTGGCCTCCTTTTCGCTCCTGGACCTACAGCGAACTGCCAAACAAAGCCAAGACGAGGATAACATCAAGTGGGGATACATCGATAACCACCGAGAGCCGGCGGCTTTGGAAAATGCCGCAGGCGCCGCGGCCTTCTCAGAGCATTCCAGAACGCTCTAGAGCGTTCCTAGAGGCCTCCTAGATAGGGTCGGAGTAGATGGGGTCGAAAGATCTCGCCGCATCGCCGATACATCGGCGATGCATCGCCGATGCATCGGCGATGCATCGGCCATGCACTGGCGACGTCGGCGATATTTCCGCGACTTCGGCGTGGAGCAAATCGGGCCCCACATCGAGCCGCATCGCCGATGCATCGGCGATGCGGCGAGATCTTTCGACCGCATCTACTCCGACCCCATCTAGGAGGCCTAGAGTTCCGGAACGCTCTGGAACGGATTTCTCTTCGTCCTGGCCCCGTCTGAAATTTGCCCTTCCATTTCTGGGCCCTCCTCCCGGTCCTGGCCACAGCTCGGCAGCGAGCCCGGGGGGGGGGGAAGAGAGAGGGAAAATAGAGAAGGGGCGGACCTTCCCAGGAGGCTCGGAAGCCCCCTGGCCTTCGGAGAAGTCTCTTCCCCTCCTCGCCCGCCGGCGAACAGCAGCCGCCACAGCGAGCGTGGGCAGAGCGCGGGCATCGCGGGTCGGCGGCTGCGGCGGGAGGCCTGCGAGGCACCGGCCTCCGCCGCGGCGAGGGCGGCACGGACGCGCAGGACGTCGGGCGCCTCCGCGGCGCGCCGAGCGCGGACAGACTTGCGCGCCGAGGGGCAGATGCCGATACCGATGCCGTTGCGGTGGGGAAGGGAGGGTAAGACAAGACCGAGAGGCGCAGGAAGAACCTTCAACGTATCCTCCTCATCCTCCTGCTCTTCTTCCTCCTGCTCTTATTATTCCCGCACCTCCTCCTCCTCCTCCTCCTCCTCCTCCTCCTCCTCTTCCTCCTCTTCCTCGTGCTCCTCCTCTTCGTCATCCTCCTCCCTCCCTCCTCCTCCTCCTCTCTCCTCCTCCTCTCCTCCTCCTCCTCATCCTCCCTCCTCCTCTTCCTCCTCCTCCTCCTCTCCTCTCCCCTCCTCCTCCTCCATCTCCTCTTCCTACTCCTCCTCCTCCCTCCCCTCCCCTCTCCTCCTCCTCCTCCTCCTCCCCTCCTCCTCCTCCTACTCCTACTCCTACTCCTACTCTACTCCTCGTCCTCCATCCTTCTCATCCTCCATGTTCCTCCGCCTCCTCCTCCCCCTCCTCCTCCCCCTCCTCCTCCTCCTCCTCCTGCTGCTCCTCCTCCTCCTCATCATCATGCTGCTCCTCCTCTTCCTCCTCCTCCTCCTCCTCCTCCTCCTCCTCCTCGTCCTCCTCCTCCTCCTGCTCCTCTTCCTCATGCTCCTCCTCCTCCTCCTCCTCCTCCTCCTCATCCTCATCCGTAGTCATGTTGGCTCAAGCCATTTCAGCCCTTGCTGGCATCTGGCATCAGGTGCCACGCGCGGGCCGAGGCAACAGGGCGCGCACCATCGGCGGCGGCGGGCTGGGGCTCGCTGCACGCCGGTTCACGGCTTGAGCGGGGCGGCCCGAACGAGCTGCTGCTAAAGTTCCTGCTGCCCCAAGGTAAAGAAGCACAAACCTCGACGATGTGGGGAGGAGCGCCGTGGAGGCGAACCTCGCGCTCGGCCAGCAGACCTCCGAACACCAAGGGGGAGAAGGCCACGCAGTACATGGTGTGCCCTCATTGTCCTATGGACAGTGGCAACTGGATTTATTGCAATCGGGAGGGCAAACCTGGATGGACCAACTGTAAGACCTGTGGACATGAGTGGAAGACTACTCGCACGAATGCGAAGTCAGACGGCGACCATTCCGAACCAGCAGAGGGAACGGCCAACCCAATGCTGGAGCTGCTCAGGAAGCAATGAATCCAAGCCAGCGAGCAGAATGACCAAGCCAAGATGGACGAGATCCTCGCGGCATGTCCTGCCGTAAAGCCACCACCACCAGCTGAACCTGTCGAACCCTCCATGGGCCAGAAGCTCGAGCATGCGGTGGCTGAGCTCAATCGCCTCCAGAAACACCAAGCCAAATTGGCCAAGCAGCTCAAGCGCGCCACCGAGTACCGCAATCACGTACTCCACAAAATCAGCGAGAACGTGGCAGACCTGGCGGAGGCCAAGCGTATAGTCCGAGAGGCCAAGGCAGAAGTTGGTGGAGATTGTGTGGGCGCAGCGGAGCAAGCCAAGAAGAACGACGACGCCGAGGAGGACATCCCCGCCCTGTCCGAAGAAGAGCTGGCAATGCTGGATGATAAGCAGAAGGATGAACATGCGAAGATCCAGGCTGAGTTCCAGCAATCCAAGCAACACCTCACGGCAAAGAAGGAGGCAGTCCAGAACGCGAAGAAGGCGATCGAAGCGGCCAAGCGCATCCAGACCACGGCAAAGGCCTGCAAGAGGCGCAAGGGCGACGACGGGAACCTCGTGGACAAAAAGGATCCTGCAAGCGAGCCAGCAGGTGTCGCAGCTGCTGAGGACGGTACTGCAACACCGGCTGATCCCGAAGTCCAGCTCGCCAGCCAGTTCGACCTCACCAACGACGAGCAGATCCAGCCTTACCTTGCGCAGCTGGCTCGCATCAAAGGCAGAGCCAAGGTCGCGGTGGCAGCGCGACAAACTCCTCCTGCAACGTCGGAGTCCCAACCCGACACAGTGGCAGGGTGGCCAGTGCCAGACCGACGCCTTCAGCAACGCCGACCACAACTACTTCGTGATACCAGGGCGTGCTGCGAAGGGGGGGAGCCGAGGAGCCGAGGGGGGCTCCTGGTGCAAATGCTATAGGCAAGCCCCAACTCGCGGCGGTCCTTCTTTGAGGACCAAACCAGCCACGCAAGACGTGCTATCAGAAGACGGCATGGATCGACGATGAGATGAACTACATCACCGAGAGGGTCTCTGTTCAGGCAGGTGACCAGAACTACTCGGAGCACTTCGACGAGACGAAGCCCACCGTCAAGATCTTCGTGGCCAACTGCACGCAGTACAATGAGGCCGCCAAGAAGCTCATGGAGGACGTGAGGGTGAGGGAATACGACCTGGTCGCCTGCAATGAGCACCACCTTCGCGGGCCAGCGGCGGAGATAGAGGCGAGCAGGCTCATGCAGGATGGGTGGCGTTCCCACGGCACGTGGACCCCAGCGAGGCAGTCACCGCGCTCGACGAACGGCACATTGGGAGGCGCATGCATACTCAGACGGAGGCATCGTGATACACGCATTCACCTGCCAGATGCACAGGGCCACAGCATATACGCCAAGGAGTTCTACGACACTTCTGTGATCATGTGGAGGCTCAAGGGCCAACATATTGCATTCATCACCGTGTACCTCACCGCCTCGATCGGGTTCGCAGGCGAGAACATCCGCAAGATGAAGCATCTCATGCAGATCACGCGCAGCCTGGGTAACACTCCTTGGATTGCTTGCGGTGACTTCACCTATGCGCCACAGGAGTTCGAGGCGACGCCATGGTTAACGCTCCTCGGCGGCATGATTGCCGTGCCTCAGCAAGTCAGATTTGCATGCAGCAGTGGATCAGGTCGCATCCTCGACTACGCCATCATCCCACCCAACTTCAGGCCATTACTCCGAGCAGTGCGAGCGGAGCATGACGCACCATGGTCTCAACACATTGGGGTGATCATTGAGATATGGGCCAGAACGTCCACCATCACAATACGCAAACCGTGCTTCCTGCCAAGAGGCCCATACCCATGACGGAGGTCCGGCGCGCAAAGGGCACCGAGCGGACGCAGAGGGACCGCCTGCAGCACCAGGAGATGGCCCAGTACGGCGACACGGACCTCAATGACGACAACCTGTTGGACCTCCGCTACACGGAGACCGTGGCCAAGCGTTGCGACCCACAGCTCTGGGGCCGGTGCAGGGGGGGAGGAGGTCGAGGTCCACAGTGGGTCCAGAACTCCCTGGCCTACAAGCAAGACGCGAGGATGAGCAACCTGCTGGGCAAGCTGTACGGCAAGTGGGCGAATGCAGCTGAAAGGGCACTCTCGCAGATCACAGAAGCCCCACTCCAACCTAGAGCGCCACGTGGACAACAAGTTACATATCGTGAAGTACCGTTTCCACAACACATTGAAGGGAAGCCAAGGGGAGACGCCAAGACCGACCAGCTGCAACAAGTAAGTACCTTGTGGAATCCGTTACACCAACGTTGCCGTGATGGCACCATCTTGCTCCAAAGGCACCCGCTGGACAGCCAGAAGCACCTGGACAACATTTGCAACGTCATCGCCAAGCTGACGGGGCAGCTAAGCAAAGTCGAGTGCACGAACGTCGCCGAGACCGACTACCTGGACCAGCGAGCAGTCCTATTAGCCCAGCGCGTCACGAACCTCCGACATGACCCTGACCCAGACGCTTTAGTGGAGAACGTCCAGGAGTGGAACGAAGCCCATGATGCCATACGGTTGCGAGCCGGATGGCATGCACGGCAGCTACGGGAGCAAGTTCAAGAACAAGTTGGACAGTGGACGCGCACAGCATTATCAGGCAACATGCGCGGGGCTCACATATACGTCAGCAAACATGAACGTCGAGACCTACCAGACACAGCTGTGGACCCAATCACCAGAGAAGAGACTGGAGCCTTAAGAGAGGCAACTGAATGTCGTGCAGGAGTTTGGCAAACATGTTGGCAGCGACACAACAACAGCAAACAGCTGGAGACAGCGACGACAGAACTACGGCAAGCTGCGCAAGAAGAGCTACCGCAAAGAAACCTATACTATGTGAGCGACCTTGAGGCGGCGATCGCGAAGTTCAGGCCCACCACTGCGCGTGGACCTGATCAATGGCAACCGCCCGAGATCTAGGAATTGCCCGGCGACGCCAAGCGCAGCCTAGTCTTCGTCATCAACTATTGCGAAAGAAATGTATGTTGGTCTCACCAGTTCTGCCGCATCTGGTAGTACCACCTTCTCGTCAAGGCAGGGTCCAACACAACAGGAGAAGAAAGACCCATTGGGACACTACCTTTCCCTGTAAGACGATGGGGTAAAATGGCAAAAGCCGACATGTAAAGCTGGTGTGCATAAAAAAGCTGGGTATTGGGATGCAGCAATCCAGGGGCCTTCAGCTCTTAGGGCAGCCATTGTTTCGATGGCGCTAGATGAGACCAGCGCCAAGCTCAAGACCACCTCGTTCTATGGGACATTCTACTTGGATCTGGACAAGTTCTACGACAGCGTCGGCCTCGACCTCAGCATATTAATCAGGCGAACAATGCAGCTGGATACCCCAAGGTCAACCTCTACAGGTGTATGCTGATACACCTCTCGCCAAGAATGGTCCGAGCGTGCCAAGATCATTCTGAACCGGTATGCCCATGGAGTGGGATAGCGCCTGGATGCGCAGCAACTAACCACGCAGCGCGAGCCATGATTTACACCATCCTGGACATTACTCACAATGCTGCCCCATTGGCACTAACACGAGAGTTCTTCGACGATCTCCACGCGAGGGTAGAAGAGCGACCAGAACAATTTCAAGACCAGCTACCTCTTGCAATCGGCACGCTGGTCCAAGCATGCCTGGACTCCAAACTTGTTGTCTCAAGTAAGTCGGCCCTGTTCACCAATTGCGAGAATCCCAAGAAGAACATCATCAAGCAGCTGAAGCTGAAAGGCATAAACATCAAGACCCCGAAGCACGTGAAGGACCTGGGCATCGACGCAGCACTGGGGCGCACGCGGACAACAACAACTCGAACGAGCAGAACCAAGAAGGCCAGAGCAAGGGCTAAGAGGGCCAAGATCTTCAGCAGCAGAAAGGACGCTGGAGGCGCAGGACGGCCGGGCTCTACAACTCCAACCTGCGGGCCAAGCAGAATTACGATTGGCCCATCACAGGGCTAAGCCCAAGTGCTGTTCGCGATGCTAGAGCCCAAAATGCAGACATGGCAGATTTCACCGCAGGAGGCAGATGCAACTCGACAATCAACGCGATCTTCTACGGCTGTAATGAACCAGCAACGGCATGCTCACAACGGCATCTACTCGTGGATGGTTTCAGGTGGGCAGGAAGACATTCCAGCACATGACCGACTACGACAAGGGTGGCATGAACATCTGCATCGACGTGGACAAATGCGTGCACGAGGGAAATGGAAATCGGTGTCGGGGCCTATGGGTGCATTGATCCCTTCCCTTCAGCAGATAGGCTGGGCGCCAGGCAAGCCGACGAATGGAAGACCCAAGAGGCAGTATTTGGCAGGTCCTCGCCAACGGAGACCTACACTGCAAGGACATCATGAAGACCATCGCCACGGGCATGGAGGCCCAGCTCTGGAAGAAAGCGAAGGACCACCACCGCGGCATGGGCACACCGCATGGCATGGGCGCCACGATGCTCGAGAAGACCCTGCAGAGAGTGCGGACGGCCGACCGAGCACAAGAGGCTGGAGCGCTAGAGGCACTCGCTTGCGGCACTGCCTGGACGGGACAACGCTGCAAAGACGCTGTATAGATGAGACGGATGGAATCTGCCCAAGGTGCTCACAGTCGGCCGACACACTCAAACATAGGATCTGCGAATGCGAGATGAACGAGAACCTCTCCATCGAAGCAGTCGTCAAATCCCAAGCGACTTGCAGAAGGGCCCGTGAGGAAATGCATGAGGACCCCGACACGGAGGCTGTCTGGCCAAGAGGGCTGCTACCGCGACATCGGAATCCGCCAGCTTGGGGAGATTGGGATGGAAGCTATTGGACTACTGCGAGTGAAGGCCCAAGGGTGATTGCTCAAAATCTGGTTACCATCAACCCCATCAGTTGCACCAAGGCCTTCAATGACGAATCGGGTACAGCAACGACAAGCGCATCAACAGGGTCGGATGGGGTCTCACGTTACAACGTCGACGAGAGAGACTTGAATACCTACCAAGACGTGAACGACTTTGGTGTCATTACCTCCTATCGGGAGATGGAGCTACAACCCAAGACAGCGAGATAGAGATTACGGTTATCACAAGGCCGACTGATGAAGCGGCCGAACAAGTCCGCAAGGACATCATGCACAACATAAGTGTATGGGCAGCAACATGGACAGCTGCCATCGACCTGGACGAGACCAAGAACGCCGAATGCTGAAAGCTGTGGTGAGTGTCATACACGGAGCAATACCTGCGCCAACCACGACAGGCAGTCCTCCTCAGGTTGTTGCAGAACCGCTACCAGACCACGAATATAGGCAAGATAGCGAGGGATACTTGCGACGTGCAGTGGAGAGCCGCGAAGAAGCGAAGGAAGGGACTCTATGACTACTACGTCACGCTCACAGGATGGGAGACAGAAGCATGCATGGCACATTGGTGGGAGAGTACTGCTGAGATAAGGCGTTGTTTCGCCAGCTACTCCAAGACCGAGCTCCCACTTTTGAGGATGAGCACCCAGAGTACTATGACGACAGCGACGAGGCTCATCACAACCTACCGCGACTTGCAGTTGACAGCGGAGCCATCCCCGAGACGAACCACATCGGGTTCTTTGGCACCGTGGACGGCGAGCAGAGCGTACCAGCAGCGGAGCACTCAAGTCTGTTGTGGGCCCTTGCCCTCACCAAAGGCCCGACCACGATCTACACGGACTGCCAGCAGGTCATGGATGGGTGGTTCCAACAAATCTACTTGCGACCCCAAAGGGCTATGCGAGGATGGTGGTAACAGATTGGGCAGATGCTACTCAAGCGCCCTGAAGGGGCCATCTTGTGCAAGTGGTCAAGTGTCTCTCGCATCTTGACCAAGAATCTATTAAGCATTCGGGCCAATCCTTCGAGACCAGCTTGAGCAATGAATTGGCAGACACCTTGGCGCAACGCGGGGAGGAGATGGCCATGGCAGACATACGTGACGAGGCCAAGCAGCTGATGGAGATCGAGACCCTGCTCATGCGCGCTCAGCGCAAAGCAGCCGCCATCATACACGACATCTGCAAGGACTCCGACCCCACCAAGCATGAACGATCAAGGCAAGCTCCAAGCAAGTTGACCGGCGAAAGGCGTCACCAGATTGAACAAGCGTCAGGCCATCACATGAAGAGGAAGAAAGGCCAGTGGGTCTGCCAAGAATGCCAACCCATCGGGCTGACCGAGGACACGCTGTACCAGTGCCACACAACGAGATGGTCGTGATCAATGACAAGGCCATTCACAGGAGCCACAACATCGCGGTCACCCATGGGCAATTCTGGTGTTGGAACTGTGCGATGGTGGCCTCACACCATGGTGAGGGGCATGGTAGGGTGAATCTGCTAACGAAGGAACGCAGAGACAAGATCACCCCAAGTGGAGAGACGGTCCTACGACGACTACGCCAAGGGCTGCCACAGGCGGGGCAGAACTGGCCAGACGGGGCAGTGCCGCCAAACGGCGGCAAAATACTACGTGTCCCAGCAAGGAGGCGTCAACGTGGTTGACTACACGGCTCGGGGCTGCGGCCCCGCAGACATACTCTGCCTTGTAGGGGCAGTGAGGTGGAGGCCC